ACCCCGCCCCCCTCTTGGCAACCGACACTCCCACTGGTGGTCAATAACCCCGCGTTTCGGGAATTTTTCAGACCTCTCAAAGGCAGCAATTTATTTTTTTTTACCGAGTCCCATTCTGACGAGAGAGTACCACGGTGATTGCCAGCTGGAGTGGCAACTGCTGAGCTCAAGGTAGCAAAGACCTCTGAGGGACTTAGTCCTCTTCTTATTTATTCATTTTTCCAGTTTTTATATGCATTATACACATTGACCTTTTTTTAATTTAAACTGCTTAGTTGTAGCTGTGACCTATGGTCATAAGATATACATTGGTATTCAGACCTCGAGATTTGGAGCACCAGACGGCTGGCCATAGGGGTTGACGGGAATCTAGCCCAGTGTAAAACACTGCATATTTTAAATGGTATTTTGTTTGCACGCACTACAAATTCTCTTTAATTCTGGGTATTCAGGTACCTAGCCATAGCTTGGAGGCCAAATACCACGATAGACTGGTCCTTGTTCTGGCCAGGCAGGTTTTACATTTTTACCCTCTTATCTGTTGGTAGCATATCGAATATCCAAAGCATTGTTTTTTACAGTGAGCGACCTATGTCTCAAATGAAATTAAGGCACTAATTCAGCTACATTAGAAATAACAAAATGGAAGAAATTAAAAGACAGCATCTGTTCTGCCAGAAATGAGTAAAGAGGGTTTTTTTCTGAAGTACCAAAGGACATTTCTGAACTTGTGTGTAAATTTCTGGGGCTCACTTTTCAGGGAAGGAGAACAAAATGGCAGTAGGGCGGAATGAGTGACTTCTGTACAGTCCCGTTTAGGTAAGCATAAGGAAGCAGTAGCTCACATCCTTTATTCATTTTGGCCTGTTCTCAAGAAACAAGTATTTTAAGCCATCTACAAAGTTTCCTTTTGAAAAATGCAGTTAACTGAAAGCTAGCCCTATGTTTCTGTCCAGCCTGTAACAGCAGGATAAATAAAAAGCCTAACTAGTCAAACCGTTAAAGCTTCAGCCACCTCTAGCTCCAAGCGACATCCGTCACTATCTGAAGGTGATGGAAATGCCAAGTCCTACTTTTATCTTCTGTAACATAACCTTTAAAGAATAACTAAGGGAGATGCTTCCATTTTACAGAGCTTCTACAGATAACTGTGAGAAATAATCTTCATTGTCTGGACTGTTTTATTTCAATGTTATTCCAGGTCATCCCTTGTCACCTGTGAAGAAAAGCTCTTTGGTGCTCGTACACATTCTCCTGAAGTGACATGGATGTAAAGGGATGCAGAAAATACCTGTGGTGGTCTGTAGCCAGCTAATGCATTCAAGCTTTGGTAGAGGTGGGGATTTGACTGCCTGGTAATTGTTCTCAGCAAGCTAATTAAGGTACCTCCTTCTAATCTCTTGCCCTAAGTTCTTTATTTGTTGCTAAGGGAAGTAACAGAAGCAAGGAGTTTCCAGAGCTGGACATGGCAGCAGCATTTTGTCAGGTTGCTAATTACAGCAAACATTGTTTTAAATTCTTACCAGCTTTGCCACGACTTCCTTTTGAGCATGTAACTGAATGAGTGTTGCATTTGATAACTGTTACTGAAAGACTTTGCAGGCCTTCTAGACAGTGGGTTTATCTACTTGGGATTTTCAGAAGAAGCTATCAAAGTAGTCAGAAGGCAGATAGCTCTCTGAAGGCATACAGAACAGCATTGCACCTTCAATAAACCCAGCTGAGAGGAAAGACGAACATACTCCAAGTCAAGTACGGTATTTAAAATCTACATGAACATCTATTTTCTAGGCAAAACAATGGGCTGACAGTCCCCAAGACTGTTAAACAATTAGTACTGAACGAGAGTTGATCGCTTTTATACAAAGTTTATTAAGATGTCCAGAAGAATAAATCTGAAAAACCATGTAGCAAATAGTAATTTTAATTCAAGAGTACAAGGCAACTTAAAACACCCAGAGCATTTATATAGTTGACAAATAAAAATACAGTGATAATTACCATCCCTGAGCAACAGTGCATTTTAAATACCGTAATAAACAAACTTACTCAAATGCAGCTGTGTATACAGACATAAAATTGTTAACATTTGTTAAAAGATGAAGACCTGAAGATAAGCAACTTGCCCTTTAAAGATATGAAGTACAACTGATTTTGGAAAACTTAAATATTACTTAAATTGAGCTGTTAACTTACTCTACAAGCTACTTAACAGTAATGCTAAATGTGTTTTATTTTGGTTTGACCAATCCCTTGTATTGTATACCGACAGCAACTTTTTTCCTTAATGAAACAGTAGTGGCTTAAGACAATCTGTCTTTTTCATTCCTAAACATTCCATGTACTGTGTATTCAGCAATGGTGTGAATTTGAATGTCAGAATGAAGAACACAGCCTCCTCTAACAGCCCAGGCTTGAAGCAACAGTCACATGGAGTAAATTTTAACAAGTTTCAATACCCAGCTTCTACATTCTCCTATCTTCCAAAAGGTCTGGGTGTGAACGTATTTAACACAAGGATCTATATAAAATGGTCTAGCAACTAAACGGCGCACAGATTTCCAGATACTCAAGTATCTCAGCCAAAGTGGACAGACAGACGAAGTTATTTTGTTTTCCCAACTGCATATGCCTAATGGCATTTAAGTTAATATCAGCCTCTCTACTGCTGAGGAAGAAAGATGGCAACTTCATTAACAGGCACTGCTGAGAACTAAAAGTTAATTTACAGAAGAATAACATCCTGAATACTGAAAAATAGTGCATACATCAAAAGAATTTACTTTGTGCTCTTCAATTTCTTGTGTAGTGTTAATATTGTTCATATTGTTATTCAATAATTTTGTTCATGTTATTGTTATTCACAGCTTGATCATCTGTCTTTGGCCATGGACAAACTATATTGGCACAAGCAGACTTTATTTATTTCACTGATGGTGCTGCCAAATTAACAACGATGTAAACCTCAACCAGCTTTCTAGGCCCTTACCCTGATCCATATATTTTTTCAAACACTTAATTACCTAATGTCTTGACTTCAGATCTGTTAAGTATTTCCTACTTGATACCACACATAACATTAGAAATTTAATAGATCAAGAAATGTCTCCTGTGTCATCTATGTGTAAGTTTACAAGTACAAACACAGATTCCAGATAACAGTATTTTAGCTGTCAATTCAAATGGGAAGAATATAGTATTAAAAACACACAACACTTGAATTTAAGTATCAATTACTTTCAAACCGAACAACCTGCTTTGAGCAGGACGTTGGACTAGGTGACCTCTGGAGTCCCCAGACAGGATTTAGGACTATGTAGCTGACTATCACCCATCTGCTTAATATTGAAATATGAATAAAAGCTTTACAAAGCAGTGACGAAATGCTTCATGTTACTAAGAAGGGTAAAACCTATCTATCTTTCAATTATTCACTAATCAGGTACTTTTTCCCAGCCACTGGCTGACCCATGGTTATGTCCACTTGATTTATAAATCAGGTAGTCTAAGAATTACGGTATCAGAGTAAACAAGCAGTATTAGAAATAATAAAGTACAGGAATGTAACAAAAGTGACATCCACTTCCGAGGATAACAGTCACTTGAGTCCTTCACGTGAGGCTGAAAAATCCAGCATTAACAAAAAAGCTGTAAGGTTTTATATACTGCACAAGCTGTATCTTGTACTAATTTGATACTGATTAGTTAATGATTTTGCATCACCAAGTAATAATTTGGCCCTAATTATTAGGCCAATAATTATCTGGCCTAATACATAATTAATAAAATCCACTAACAGAATTTTGTTGGCTGTTCATATAGAAAACCAGAATGTTTTCACAAGGTTCAGCTGTTCGGGATATCTGTAATTCACTTGTACTTCTTACTTGCCAAGTACAAATTAACACAGAACGGTTGTTTTAGTCTGTTAATATGATCAGCTCCAACATACTGAAATGCATCCTTTCCCCACATCCTTCCAGTGCTCAGATGCAACATAGCTAATGATAGAATGAACAAACATGATTTGAAGAAGTTTTCATTGACTGAAGCTCCCATAATACTGTAAAAAGGTTCTGAAGTAAGTATTGTATTTTTCAGAAGTCTATAGGTGTTTTCAGAGTGTGACTTAAGTTGATTACCTCCTTTAAAAAAATCAGGTTTCTTGGTATCTAGAAAATAGGGAAAAAATGCAACGCTAGTTTCAGTTTGTTTATGCAAACAAAAGCTGTGTTTCACTGTCCCAGCCATTAAATAATTTTTGCCTACAACTCTGGCACTTACAAGAAGCTACACTCAAAGTCCAGCACAGTCACATTCTTCTTGCTGCACTCATAAAAATGTTGGGGGGACTTCCTCGCTGGGAAGGATTTGTGATGGCAAGCAAAACCAAACAGGCTTCCCACGCTCCCTTGAGCAGTACAGCAAACAAGACGTGCTGAGGGAGTTGCTTCACTGGATGATGTAGATGCCTGTGATACAGGGGACATCCCTTACCATATTTACTGAGCAGTCTTTGAAAAAGCTTAAGGAAGACATCAATTTCTGAGGGTTCATTTGAATAGGATACCCTAACAAAAAAAATGCAAGAACCCCTTTTCAACATGTCGGTTATTGAAAATTAATTTTTCAAGTCAACAAACTATCTGGTTTTGCCTTTGAAAGGTTGTTTTTTAGGAAGAACAAAGAACTGATATCTGGCAGTTTTCCAGATAGCAAGTTGATCTGGACTGCTCATCACAGAAAATGAAAACAGCATACTTAAAGACAAAGATAAGACAAAGAATTTGAACTTAAAAAAAATAAAAATAGAGAAGACGATTGCATATGGATGTTAATAGCTTCTCCCCTTTACTATCAGGTCAAGCAACTTCACTAAGAAGTTCTCCCAGTCGGGGTAAAAGCTGCAGATATTTGGCCTGTACTCCCAAACCCATCCATTCTCACTAATTACTTTTTTTCACTGTTAGAATGGAATCTTAGAGAAGAGAAAAAGGGTATTCTTCCCTCTAGGATACTTGCATGTTCTCCAGTTGCTCTACATGCCATAAAATGTCAATATTCTGAAAGTGTACACAAAACATAGAGAAGGTATCCTTAAATGGTCTTAAAATCCTTAAATGTTTAACAAAGCAGTTCATGCAATAAGATAAATGTTTTTATATGCTTAAACAATTCAATTATTTACCTGAAGGGCTTATCCCAGGAGTGACACAAGCATCACAACACCCATAAACTGAATGAAGAGCAACAAAGGTGTCATAAACGACCAGACAGGCCACAAAGCAATGTTGAAACTGGGAATAAAAGCGGGAAGTTTTGGGTCAGTTCAATTGTCATATTATGGAAATACCAGCACACAAAGAAAATATGGCACAAGAGAAAACAAGATTTAAATTACTCAACCTGGAAAAATACTTGTTTCTTTACAACTTGAGAAATGAAAAGACCCCAGCACCTCCTTATTAACTGGTAGTTTAGTTTACTGTTTATTTACTGACAACTCATCCTAGAACTTCAGTAGCTACTGCACATTTTAGCAAGAGCAAATCCATTCAGTCCCAGCAAGGATAAAGATACCTTTTACTTTCATATTCTCTGTATTTGAAGCACCTGAAAATTAACTACTCTTGATTTTTCTATGGGCATACATGGCAGCTGAGAAAAGCCTTAATTTGTACCTGCAGCCAAGCAGCTTTAAGTTAACTGAAGAGAAAGGGGGAAAACCACCTTATTTTACAACTGAATTGCAAGGATTATAGACTAATTCTGAACTATAGGGAGCCTTTATCTTCTTCAGTCTTCCTTTTTTCCCCAGCATTGCAACAAATACTGACTGACCTTATTCAGAAACAACAGCTAAACTTGAAGAGAGGAGCAGCTTTCATGCAGAGAGCAAATAAATATATACTGGCACACATGTATATAATGTTTTCATTCACATGCACATTTGCTCAATTCTGACTTCTATAATCTCACAAAGAAAGTAGCTCTTACTAAAAGTACCATTCTCTGACAAGATATAAACCCTTAAAGCTTTTATAGCAATAGTCAGAAGTGTATATTTCAGTATATGTTTGCTATTCATAGATTGTTTGATAATGAAGAACTCTGTATTAGAAACTGATCAGGCATAATTTTTTCTCAGCCAGAGAATATGACTTTGCTTTAATTTGTAAACTTCACAAATAGATGTCAGAGGTGAGCAATTTACACTAACAAAGCTAAGGACTTCAGCTTTTCCATAAATTTTCAAGACAGAAAAGATCCGGTATGTCTACAAATACACTTAATATACAGCTTCAACAGTTCCAACTCTTGCTTTGTGGATGCATGTTCAAAGTGGACGAATCAATACTACATAGAACTGGTATTGTCAACAACACACTTAGTAGAATTAGAGAAATTACACTTTTTATAAAATGAGCCCAAGACTTGCACAGCTTTAGCAGAAGTTTGTACGCAATGTTCAAACTTACCAAATTGCTGCTGCAAGGAAGGTAGCTGTTGTGACAGGTATCAGTGCTGGATACCGTGCATCGTAGTCCTGAATTCCACAGTACCACTCAAGATAAAGTATGCAGTAAAAGGCTACAGATAAACACACAGCCAATAAACAACTGCCAGAGGCAAACCACCAGCTGCAGGGGAGGAAGCACGTTAAAGCATGTTAAGCACAGTCACATCACAGTTTGCACATTAATCTTCATGCTAGTCTAGAAACAGAGTAGACAATAGCTGTTAATTATACAGATTGGCCTAGAGTTCCAGTAATTTTTTTTCTTAACTTACTTTTACAAAACACTTTTTGCCCTTCTAAAGCTGTCTAATATACATAACTAACTGAGTTCAATTTTGCAATGCAACATTCCTTTAATTTATTTTTCCCTCAAGTATTTTGGAAATTCGATGCAACAGACCTTGTCAGTGACCTACTATACTACCACACCAAAAATATTTTGTCAGTAATGAAATAAAATAGGCTCCACTGCAAGTGTGCTGCTCACTATAAATTAGACTACTGATTTTTGTGCAACAGAAACATTGCAGAAAGCTTTAATAAGGTTTCAAGTTTATGAACTCTGAAATTTAACAGACAAGAAGCATGAAGATTTTTCTTAACAGCAGCTGAAGAAAACCATAGAGAAATCCAGGATTTCAAACTCAAAATCAAGAAAACACAGGGTATGTGATTATTTAGGAAGATGCACTTTTGAGCCTCTTTGAGAACATACTTCAAGAGTAAGATAGCAACGTACTTGGGAGGAAGGTGCACTTCAATAAAATCTTATACTTATCTGAATGTATATTTAGCAAATAAAAATTTTAAAAAGTGAATTCTTATTACCATAGCTGGTTTACTAAATTACAAAGGGTAATCAAGGATCTTCCTACTCAGGGAACATTTGCTCTGGTACGGTACAGCAAATATCGTATGCTATTTTGGTACCTCAATACTACCAATTGAGAAATCTGCATTAAGAGAGCAGTTGCTATCATCTACCTAAATAAGCAACACAAGGAGACAGGGTATTGCAGAGAGCAGATGGGGCCACTCAAAACCTTGATCACATCCTGGAGTCACTAGTTTGCATCCACAGCCAACTGGATGTAGGGTGCATCTAGACCAGCCTGGAAGAGCTGCTCCAGAGAACCTCACACAATAATGACGAGAGAGTTTTAAAAGCACTTTCAGGTGAAGCTAAAAAAATTTAACATCCATCAATCCCATTGAAAATAATTGAATAGCAAATAAATAGAATAGAAATTATTTCATAAGAATTATTTCACTAATCTTTTGCTGGTCTACTCGAAGTCTAGATAACTTCTAGAGAAATTAACTTCATTTTGATGTTTAAAGATTAATTTCAGCTGGTTTTGATTAAAACAAAATGAAAACCTCAGTACTTTCAAAAAAAAAACAGGCAGCGATTTCTTGTACTTAAGCGTAAACTTGAAGGTACAGTATTAAAACATCCTGCTATTCAAACAAACTTTGCATGTACACAGATGGCTCAGTAAAGCCTAAAGAAAAAAAATAATTATAGCAACATTTTAAGCATTGTATTTACTTAAAAATGACCCTAGCTCAAGCAGGGTCACTTGGAGCCAGTTGCCCAGGACCACGTCCAGACAGGTTTTGAGCATCTCTAAGGATGGAGACTCCATGACCTCCCTGGGCAACCTGTGCCAGTGCTCAGTCACCCTCACAGTGACAAAGTGTTTCCCAGTGTTCAGAGGGAACCTCCTGTGTTTCAGTTTGTGCCTGGTGCTGTCACTGGGCACCACAGAAAAGAGCCTGGCTCAGTTTTCTTTGCACCCTCCCTCCAGGTATTTATCCACTTTACTAAGATCCCTCTGAGCCTTATCTTCTCCAGGCTGAACAGTCCCAGCTCTCTGTATTCCTGCTTTTCTTATTTATCCAAGATTTACAACACAGTGTTCAGATGTTACAAACTGAGTATGATTGTGAGATGAAAACACAACTTTCTTTGTAAGAAAAGGTACCTTACCTATCTGCTTGAATAGTTTCTTTAATAGTTTTTAAAAAATCAAAGTAGTATGTCACAGCAATCGATGCCAAAATCCAGAATGCAGAATGAATATTCAGTCTGGAAAGAGGCTTCCTCTTCTTCTCTACAGCTGTAGACTCTTCTGTAAATAAGAACATAATTATAGCACTAAAGCCAGTCATTAAATGGAGTATGATTATAGTTACATAAAACATGACGCTTTATCCTTTTAATTCACTTATCTTTGGAGGTTATTATACTCAGTATAATGCACTTTGTATTACAGAGGAAGTATTCAAAAAAAGCTCTGCACATTTCCTGAAATAAAACAGCCTAAGCAAGGTACCCTTTGATAAAACGATAAAGGAGTAAGAATCAGCACATAACTGTCTGTGTACCCTTTTAGGAAATTAACAGCTGACTAGATTTTGTAAGGGTTATTTAACTCATTTAAAACCTCCTGGTGTTACTGAAGCACTTTTATTAATCTAGCATATAGAAAGTCAGGTTGGTATTTCCAATTACTCATTTATTTGTATCCTTTTTTGCTAGTTTTGATATTTGCAAACCGATTTCAGGCATAAATAATTTTCTTGTACTCAACTACAGGTACTTCACAAGAGATTTTCAACTTCAGTTTCAGGGCCTAGCTTGAGTCACACTGCGTACCTTCAGCAGGTAAACTATCATTATGCAGAACAGTATCTTTTCTTTTTTCCCTCACCACCATATATTGAGTTAGAGAAAGCAAGACAACAGAGCAAGCAGATTAGCATGCTTTTGTGCATGACAGTAACCAACTAGCACCCTCCGTACTTACAGACGCTGGCAGGAAAGGTGTCAAAGGTGCCTTTGATGTTTCATACACTTTATCCCTTCAAGTTACCGGCGGCCTGCGTGCCACCAGCAGCGCACAGTGTACACTGGCTCCTCCACACGCGTGATCGCCAGCCGAGTGTGCTAACAGCTCTGCTGGAGTTCACAGCATTTTTTATTTTTTTGTTTCCTAGATGCTTCCTCATCCACCAGCGCTTGGGTCTGGAGCATTTAAGTGCTTCAACCCCATCACGAAATCCGCAGCTGCAAGTACTCGCGTCTCCCTGTTCGCACCCAGCCGCCGTTCCGGCCAGGCACCTGAGGGAAGATGAGCTGCCTGGAAGCAAGCGGTACCCCCCGGCAGGGCAACGCGCCCCTTTACGCGAGGAGCCCCCTCACCAGCGCTGTCGCCAGCAGGGTCCTCCCCCGCTCCCGCCCGGCCATCGCTCCCA